GAAGGAAACCGAAAAGAGGAAGAATTCCTATTCCTAGTCGAATTCCCATCCTTAATTTTCTCATGGATAATGCTGGATTTTATCCTATATTTTTTTTCTTAGATTTTCTCATGGAAGAGAAATTGTTTTCTACTTCAATTGGAAGCTTCTAAGGCATATTCAACTCAACTTCTTCAACAAAAATTAATTAAATATTCAAGTCTAAATCCAAGTAAAATAAAGCAAGGAGAATTCAACCACAACCCCACCGCATTTCAAAAGAGAAGACTTTTATTTTAATTATGTTTATGCTTCTTTAAATTCATATTTTATCATATTCCTATATAAGAATGTAATTAGAGTTTTTCTGATATTTAGTTTTTGAATTCTTATAGTGTAACGACCCCGGAAATTTAAAATGAAATATGTGTATTAAAAATGTCAAATGCGGAAGCGAAGTCAAAATTTCAATTAACATCCCTTACACTAAAACCAAAAACGTGCTCAAAATATAAAAGATCAAAACTAACTAAAAGAGAAACTCGAAAGTAAAAGCTATGAATATGACTATGGAGTCTTTAGGCATCCCCTACGTCGTCTTCCTGAGGAACGGGCTCGGGAACAATGTTTTCCTGATCTGAAATGATTAAATAAGGAATGAACTACACTAGCCCAGTAAGGACGTCACGATATCTCACCGTCACAGAGGTAAAGGTGGGTAGAAAATACAAAAAGACCAATGGAGCATAATTTACAACAAATCCTTTTATCAATAATAAAACCTTTACCATCCACTTACCTCGGTGAAATTCATAAAACAATACACGAAAGCAATAACATTATCATCATCATGAAATCATATAAACTGTATAACATAATACTTATCACGCCTTTTGTAATTCAATCATTACACAACATATTTTTCCTCTTTTACCAGCCTACTAGTATCCATGGGGATCCATAGGGGTCCCGCTACCCGTGAACCCTTAACACTTGTAATCAGATTCCAGGGCCGTCCCCATACCCCGTCCGGTATGGGCGCCAAAACTATAAACCTCAATACCCCGTCTGGTATGATGGTGAAACGGGTCGTCCCCATACCCCGTCCGGTATGGGCGCCAAAACACATAGGGTCTCCATACCCCGTCCGGTATGAGAGACCACAATCCCGGTAGGGTTCCCTACGGACCCTGTCCGTCCACCATCTCCCAGGATATCTAGTCAGGCTGATCACATTATACAATTATCAATTTATATAACCTTTCATTCCCCTTTTCCTCAGTCAGCATCATCAATTCACACACAAACAAGCAAAACAGTAATTTATGCCAAACAAGACAACATACAACATCGGTTACTCAGTCATTCAACCCATAATCAATAAAACAGTAAAATATGCACATGAAACTATGAAATGAAAACATCAGACCTCATACTGCATTTAAAACTGTAAAATAGGCCAAATAACAGTTAACCGACAAACACACTAGACTCGGGCTTCATTAGCGACCTTAAACAATTTCACACATTCGTTGATTCAAGAAATACCGTTTTATCATTATTGAACTTTAATACCGTGATAGGAAATAGGGTGAGGGGTCCTTATACGTTTCGGGGTCCGAACACGGCTTCACAGTGCGCCTACAAGCTGTCCCTAATTTTCCCTGAATTTTTCCTGGGGAACTGAAACGCACTACTGTTACCTGCACGTGTTCCAAAAAATCCCAAATTAGACCCAGGACCCCTTTTGACCAATATCGCAATTCCAGCACGGCGGCTCCGCCATGCTCCAGCGACGGCGCCGCCGCAAGCGGCGGCGATTCACCTCGGGTTGGTCGTTTCTGGCCGAATTCGGCCACACTTACATCGGTCCCTGTGATAAAACAACCCTAGGGTCCTCGGGGGGCCAAAAAATTACGAAAAACCGAAGCTTACCGGCGGCGGTGCTCTTGGGTGCGGCGGCTCTCCAGCGAGGTTCGTGTTTTGGTGATTCGGCTCCGATCAACCTGTAGAGAAAAGAATGGTGATCACGGTGATATAAAAATTGCATCAAACGGAGGCCGGGAAGGGCCTCATCGGAGGCAAAAATCGAGGAGGGGCGCGGCGGCGCCGCTGGGTTTCGGCTGTGTTTTCTGGCCGTTTGGCCGGGATTTTGGCTCCGATTTGGCCACAGAGGAACTCAGTGTGGAAAAACGAGTCGAGGGTATGAAATTTCCCTCGATTGGCGATCGAAAATCTCCCCAGTGCGGTGGCGGGTGGCGGCGGCCGGCTCCTCCGGTGTCTAGTTCGTCTTCTCTGGCGAGGGCAGGCGGCTAGGGTTTTTTGTGGTCAGGTGTGGGGGTTCTATTTATACCATTTTGCCTTTTGATCTCAGCCGTCCATTTTGATTAAATCTGGACCGTCCGTTTTTGATTGAATCTGGGTCGTCCGTGCGCGTGCATCTGGGCCGTCTGTGTGCACGCTTGATCTGGGCCGTCCGTGCGCGCGGGGACGCATCTGGGCAGTCCGATCGCGCGCACGCAGATCGCCAACGTGGGCCGTCCCCGGGTCGACGTGGTCTTGCCACGCGGCAGGTCCTGGTTGGCCAGGGCTGCTGACTAGGCCGCTGACGTGGCTGCTGACGTGGCGCTCTTTTTTTTTTAAATTAAACTTAATAAATAAAAATTAATAATAAAATCACAAAAATGCCCAATTGTTTGGGCGTTACATATAGAATTAGTAAGGCTTATACCTATATAAAAATCTTGCTCCTTTGGTTGTAAACATTAAAGTTTGAGATCAATAAAATTAAACTTTTAACTTGGGTTAACAGTTGGCTAAGTTGCTATTTAGAGAGGTGTCTTCAGCTTTCTTATTGAGTGGGGAATTGGTGTCTACTTATCAAGATAACTTATGATATTTTTATCAATTTGAGTTGATTTTAACTTATCAAGATATTTCTTAGAGCATTCTAATCAATTCAGTTTATCCAAATTATCTTAATTTGTATTCACAAGTTGAATGTAGTTAAATAGGAATGACTTATTTAGGGATTTAAGTTTTGTAATGTTATATGTGGGGTTTAGATTACAAGTGTTGATCTCGGGTCCCGCATAAGAAAAGAGAGAAATAAATTTTTGTGCATAGTGAGTATATACTAGACAATCAAATCGTAAATAAAAAAATAAAAAAAAATAAAAATTCTTGAAAAGATTTATGAATTTATAATAGATGTGCGAGGTGTTTGTAATAGATTTACGGGGTAAGGGATTGTTGTTGAGGGATGTAAAACAGGAAAAATTATTTAGAATTCTTATAATAGATAAATTTTCTCTTTTTGAGAGAAATACTGGAAAAATTTATCTCATGGAGAGAAATTCTATAGCAAGAGGATTTTTCTTGTGAAGAAAAACAACAAACAAAATTTTTCTCCGAGAGAGAAATTCTCTATGCAAGGGTATTTCTATTGTAGAAAGAAATGACTAACTAAATTTTCTTTATCAAAAGAGTATTTGTCTTGTAGAGAGAAATGGCTAAAAAAATTTCTCTTAAGGAGAGAAATTTTCTATTAAAAATTATTTCTCTTATAGAGAGAAATAACCCAAATTTTTCTACTATGAATAGAATTTCTCTATGCAAGAAAATTTTTCCAATGGAAAATGATGAAAAAAAAAATTTCTCGAGATCATTGGCTTATGTTACTGTAAAAATTCATGATCGAATAATTTAGTCAAAAAATTTGCAGATATATTTCATTAAAATATATAAAATACAAATACTCAAACTATGAAGGAGACAAATATATGATTATGGTATTTCCATAACAAGAGTTATTAAAATATATCAAATATAAAAAGTACACCTTGAAGTGTACCCAAGTGCTTCTCACTTTTGAATTGTCCTAGAAAATGAGTAGAATTAATGAAAAAAATTTGTTAAATAAATTCAAAATGAATTAAACAATTTACCTATCATATTATTTCATCTAATCTCTTGGGACTTTTATAGTTTATTGTGGTCAACATAACAACATAATGAGCGAAACATTCTCCTTTCCCTACTGGACAACAAACCATGATTCTTGGGTTTATCCGTATCCTTATCTCCTCGCCATTCTCTCCCTTTCTTTACATTGAATTTTAGAGGTTCAGTTGAACCTAGTCAACTACATGCCCATATGGTAAGGCCTCTAACAACGCTGCAAAGAAAATTGATATGCATTTAGTTAAATCGTTATTTGTTGGAGAAAAATAACTAGAAGTTATTGTTCTTCATTCGAGAAGAAGACAATAAAGATGTCATTATTCATAAGAGAAGAATCCACCAAAAAGAACAAAGATGAATGAGGGAGAAAAAGCCACCACGTCATAGCCGGTCAAAACGTGAATAAGAGACATTTAGAGAAGATCGACCTTGATGACTTTAGGAATTAACTTATTAAACAAAATATTTTTTAAATTAAAGAAATTAATGAAATGAATAAAAATTAAAATGTGCAATAAATTCATAGATTTCAATCATTTTTCAAAATCATAACTAGTGAGATTTATAAAACAAAGGATAATTTCTTAAATCTCATCGATTATTAAAATTTTTTCCTTGAATTTAGTAATTTATTGTCGGAATAGATATTAAATTGTACTAAAATTTTTAATCCTTCAACTTCAAACCAAAGACCAGAGCAAATTATGTTTGGTTCAATCTATATCATAAAATTAATTTTTTATATTTTAAGTTGTACTAAAATTATCTAATGTAGATAACGATTCAATTAGAATATGATGTGTGTCCAATTTTAATTTATATAATATTTTTATTAATATTGTCTATAGTCAATAATTTAAAATAATTTTTTTAAAATACTGAAATTAAAATAATTAAGAATAAATATAAAAATTAATTCTAAATATTTTAAAATAGTATATGATTTGATTAAAATAACCCAAGGCTTTAAAAAATAATTTTTCCTATTACTAACAAGCCTTTACGAGCCTTGTGTCATGATGAGAAGCATGTAAGACCTCGAGCTCGTCACGCGTCAAGTACGTGTTGGACGCGTTAATCCAGCGCGTGGCGTCAAACCGTTCTCGTTTTGCTCAAATTTATATTGGCTCGTTCAAAAAAGTACATATGTGTATATATACGTATATGCATCTGGAACAGGCATTGTTGTTTCCTGGTTCTTAGATACTAATCGGTAAGTCTCCCGTTTCATGTTCATCGATTTATTTATTTTTTTCCATTTCAATTTCATTTGTTTTCTTTAAATTTATGATCTGGTCCTGTTCGCTTTATATTGCTTCAAATGTAATGTAAATTGATGATTTATACATAGGGTTTCTGTGCTTATGATCGTTTGATCTTCTTTACGGCTTTGATGTAAGGTTTACGGTTTCTCTTTTGATCTTTTGTTTTGTGTTTAAGGGATCGTCTTCCAAAAGGAACAAGTCCTATCACTGTATTTGACGATTGCATCAGAGCAAAATCTGGGCGCTTTTATTTCTTACATAATCAATTTTCTTTTTGCAGCTTTGATTTTTGCCTTGAATTCTTTTCCCGATAAAATTTATTCTCGAGTAGTTTAGAAATGGTGTTGTGTGGTTGACTCTGGGTTTGTCTAATACTCTCTAGATGAATTGCTGTTCTATAAATAATGAGAGTGTGATGTAATGTTAGTGGTGGTGTTACGTTCAGTTTTAGATTGCTGATCTGTATTCTGTATTAAGAGGATATGCAAATATTTTTCAGATGTTGCTATCGGTTTTGACTTTTTGATCCCTGTAATATTTTCTGGCTGATCGACAATCTTTAATTAGAAGCATTAAGCAACAAAAAATGTTGATCTAAGGCATATATTACTGGCAAAGGCCTAATTTTGGTTGAGATGCATGGTTAAATTATCTCCCTTTCTATACTATAAGTGTCAAATCTATTCAGCTTTGTCTTTCTCATGTTATGTTTTAGTTGTACAAGATCACTTTGACATTGCTTGCATAAATGAGGTTACATCAATCAGCCTTGGCATTTTATGCAGGGTTTGTTGCTTGCTTAGAAAACATGGGAGGTGGTGAGGACAAGCATGATGAGCGTGACAAAGGGCTGTTTTCACACTATGGACACGGGTATCCTCCGCAAGGGTATCCCCCACAAGGTTATCCTCCTCCTCCTCAAGGCTATCCTCCTGCACAAGGATATCCACCAGCAGGGTACCCACCACAAGGTGCATACCCGCCTGCTGGTTATCCAGGCCCATCTGCTCCACCACATCATTCAGGTGATTCTGTTTGCTTACTTATTTTGTCGCTGTAACTTGTTATACAGCAAACTCTACTATGTTTCTAATGTAGTAAACAATCCATAGACTCCAAGAACAGTATGTTTAATAGGATTAGTTTGAGACAATAATTAACAAAATGATTAGCTGAACTAGCCAAGTTACTGCTTTTAATTATTCAACCTAAGATTTCACATTTTTGAGTGAGAGAACTGCATATCTATTTGAGAAATGAGTATATATGTAGTCAAAAGAGTAGTATAAATTGATTCAGCAATTGGAAATTTTAGCATCACAATCCCTAATTCATTAACTTTGCTTCTCAGAAGTTTGTAGAATTCTTTTCTCAGCGACGTTCATTGATGACTTTAGCTAACGGATGTAATATAATATAACGTTCGTTTTCAGGTCATGGAATTGGGGCAATGTTAGCTGGAGGAGCAGCTGCCGCAGCAGCTGCTTATGGAGCCCATGCCCTTGGCAGCCACCATGGTAGTCACCATATGATGCATGGTACTCCTTTCTCACATGGTCACAAACATGGCGGCAAGTTTAAGCACCACGGTGGAAAGTTCAAGCACCATGGTGGCAAGTTCAAACACGGGAAGCATGGGAAATTCAAGCATGGAAAGCATGGAGGGAAATTCAGGAAGTGGAAGTGATCAGCAACCTTTTACATCAACAAGTAGGGTCGTGTTGACTCAAACTTGATTCTGTCTTGTTTTCCTTTTTGGGTGGGATTGAATAAACATTTATCTTTTAGACTTCTGCTGCTTTTGATGGCTTCTAATTTGACATTCAGATGTTTTCTGTCTTTGTTTCTTTTATGGATGTTGCACATAAGGAGTTAGTTGATGAGTTGGGAATGCCTGACAAGTCTCCTCATTAAGCGTCCCTCTAATAGACACTGCACCTGGGTGTGCCCGAATAATTAAGGGATCTTTTTCTTTTCAAAAAACTTTAGATAATTTTTTATGGTAACAAATTATACTTGATATTTTAATGTTACTTTATTTATTATTAGATCTATTAAATACTATATTTGGAGAGGTGTGTTAAATCTCCTCATTGCTGAAATGTTCTCTTAAGGGGATTACTAAAAAGTTCAACACATTTTTTCTAAACAATCTGAATTGATTGTATGTAAAGATCAATTTGGGTTTGTTTTAATTGAGTTTTTAGTGGAGTTTGAACTGTTAAACACTAAATATATATTTTCTGAAGAATTAAATTCTATCTTTTTGAGGTCTACATTTTTGTAGTAAAGAAGGGTACCTTTCATCAAAAGAGAATTTCATAGGTTCCTACAATCTGCATGTTTGACATTATGAATGAAAAAGCAAAATGCCCTTGAATGTAAAAGAGTAGAAATCTGGTCCACTCTTTAATCAATATTCTGTTATTTTTTAAATGAAATCAATATTTTAAATTTTATTTTATTTTATTTTAACCTAACTAACCCCTGTGTAGCTATAAAATTTTGAAATTATTTATTTGGCATTTACAAATAGTTTTTAAATACTTACAGGTAAAAGATGAGCATTATAATTTTAACTTTTAGGTTGCTATTATTCTTAGCTAGTTAGTTTACTCAATTACTCACTTCTTTTAAATAAATATTTAATTAGCCTTTTTATATTCCTTTAAACTTAAACATAAAAGTTAATAATGTATATATTTTGTATTATTTTTTTGTAATGATTTTATTTAAATGTGTAACCATTTATTTATTTTTTAATAAAAAATAATAATGACGCTTTAAGTAAATTGAAATATTTATTTATTTATTTATTTCTTAAATAGATATCTTTAAGCAATTCTATAGATCTTCATAATTGGGCCTCATAAGTTACTTCGACAAAACACATCAAATTTTATCTTACACAAAAATCAATTAATCAAAGGATGGGTCTTTTAAATTATTTATTGTAATACCCGAATTCGAAATTTGGTTCATGAATAATTTTAAATTTTAAAAAAAATATATAAAAATATAATTTTTAAATTTATAAATTTTGTTTAATGTAAAATTAGAAAAAAAATAAGTTGAAGATAAAATTAAAAATAATTTTAGAAAAAAGAGATAAAAATTTAGGTTCGGAGAGTATTTTTGAAAGAAAAATCGAAAATTAGAAGTCAAAACATAATTAAAAAAATTGCACTACGTAAAACTGCTCAGTCAGCAGCCCCGACGAACTGGAGCGCGCTGCGTAACAAGGCACGCTAACTCGGTGCCACGTGAGAGGCCACGTTGGCAATCCGTGTACCCACGATTGGATGGCCCAAATGCGTTCTCGCGTGCGTGGACGGTCCATATTCGTTCCTTCCTCATGCACGATCGGACGGTCGCGATTAAATGCAATGAACGGTTCAGATTCGTTCCTTCTTTAAACGTAATCGTACGGTCGAGATCAAATCACGATGAATAGTACAAATTTATTTTCTCTTTAAACGCGATCGGACGGTCGAGATCAAACACGATGAACGATCCAGATTTAAAGGAGACAAGTATAAATATCTCGCATTATACCAAACTCAAACTCTAGTCGTCAGCCTCTTGCCGGAGAAGAAAAACCAATAGCTGGAGAAGGGAGCCGATAGCCGCTCGTTGCCGCGCCGGAGCCATCTTCGATTGCCAAAAAAGGTTGTCCGAAGAAAAACACTCAGTCGTGAAAGTGAGCCGGTGGAACCGCCGCACCAAAAAATTCCGCCGTCGGTGAGTTTTTTTTTACTTTTTTTATGCCAACCGAGGCTCCCTAATATGTTTTCTCGCAGGAATGTGTATAAAATCAGTCGAAACCAGTCAAAACTGTCCGAAAATTGCCAAGCCGAGGTAACTTGCCATCGATGGAGTACGGCGGTGCTGTCGTGCCGGAATTCTGAAATTGGCCAAAAAAGGTTCTTAACACTTATTTGGGATTTTGTTGGGGGTATTTTTAGGTAGTGAAGTGTGTTTTAATCTTAGCAGAAAAATTCAAGAAACCTGGAGACCGCCAGTAAGTGCAGTAGAAAATTTCCAGTTTCGGACACTGATTCGAGTAAGAATCCATCACCTTATTCCTTATTATGGAATTGAAGTTTAATTATTAATAATACGGTATTTTGCGTAATTTAAAAAACTTTGAGAATTAATTACAAGTTATTAATGAAGTCAAAACTGATTATTTATTATTGTTTGTCCTGTTTAATCGATTATTTAATTTTACAACTTTAAATGCATAATAATATACTGAAATTGATAAAATAGTTCAATTGTGTTTTCTTGATGCATGTATTGTTTGTCCTGTTTAATCGATTATTTAATTTTACAACTTTAAATGCATAATAATATACTGAAATTGATAAAATAGTTCAATTGTGTTTTCTTGATGCATGTATTGTTTGTCTTGCGTTGATTTACGGTTAAATTATGAAACTAAAAATTAAATGTAAATAGAAAATTGATTGATTAAGTGAATGAATTAATGGTAGACTTACTGGATATCTTGAGAGATAGTGGACGAACCGAGTACATAAGGAACCTTAACGTGAACGTTACCTCATATCGGACGAGGTATCGAAAATTAGTATTTTTGGCGCTCATATCAGATAGAGTATGAGGACGAACCGTTTCACCCTCTTACCGGATTGGGTATTAAGGGATAGTATTCTTGATACTCATACCAGATGGGGTATGAGGGTGGCTAGTTAGTTAACAATGTTGAATAATGGTTCACGCGTAGTGGGACATCCCTATAGGCCCCCAAAGATACCAGTAAGTAAATAAAGAGGGAAAGTTAATGTTCTTACTCACTTGAATATAATATTAGAATATTATTTGAGTTATTGTCTCTATAGGTCGATTTTAGAAATTTTGCAAATGGTAAATATATGTAATAAATGGTTTTATATGTAATAAATGAATTTACTTAAATTAACAGCTCCATTAGTTATTTTTATGATTTTTACCAATCTTTAGTTTTTGTATCGATGAGTAGTGTGATATTTTTATTAGTTTAGTGTAACTCACCATTTCATTAACTATTTCAAATCAAGAGGAATAAGACCCAGATCCCGATCAACAAAAGGGTTGTGAATAGTTCACCACCTGAACTCCCTTCAAAAGTTAGTAAAAGCCGTCCTAAAATGTTCAACATATTGTCTTTTATTTATTTTCTTAATTTTGTTTGTCTTTTTAGAAGGATTGTTCCCGCAACTCTATTAGGAATTCTAAATTATTGTACAAGGAATGTAAACCTTAAACTCTATTGTTTCGCTTCCACATTTAATTCATGAATTTATTTTCTTTTAAGTTCCGGACCTTTACATTTATAGTTCAAGGTCATGTGGAATATAATTTTTTCTTTTCAGATATAATCATGTGCCACCCATCTTTATGTGCATGTCTCACTAAGAACAAAAGCTTAAAATAGGTTTAACCAAATAATCTTACTATTTTTCTCTTCTCAAATTAAATCTACCTCTCAAGATTCCTTTGTCTTCATGTCTAAAATTATATATTTCAGAGTTAATATCCTTCTTTATGTACTTCATTTATATAACCATCAAGTGCTTAAATATTATATTCTATCTTATTAATAAGCAGTTTTATTTAAAAGATATTTTCAGTAAAGATTTTTTATTATAGTACATGCATATTTTAACTTATATAATGAAAGTAATTGCCATTTCTAATATATGCATGTAATCACATAGGATGCTTAATAACACATTATATATAGTATCACTATTATTGCAATATTAAATGAAATATTATATATGCACAACTACTATAATATGAAGGTTGGTCCTCTAAGAATATTATTGTCAAGAATTTGGTATATCTCTAGTGTCTTTCCTGATTTACTAGACTTTAGATAATAAAATCACTTAATTTAATTTAATTTATTTTAGATTGTTAGTTTCTTTTTTGTTAGAGAATAATACTTGTGTAAAATCTTTTGCTTGTGTGTGAAAGCCTTGCTTATTTCTTGTGATATGGAGGAAGAAAAGTCCATGAGGAGCTCAAAAGCTTTTGAGGATGAAGAAGAATAAAAAGACAAATAAAAAAAGATGAAGAAAAAGAAGAGTTTGATGAGGCTAAAATTGAGGGTCATGATCCTGTGGTCGAGAAAGATCATGACTAGTTGTTCATTATCTTTTCTTGACTTACATCTCATTAATATTTCACAAATTTTATAGACATATTTTATAAATGTATTGCCTAATCACAATTCATGCTTGGTCGTTACTCTCATATCATCATCTCCCACTAATTTTTCCTTTTCTCTTTCCCTTTACTTATAATTTTTTCTCTATTGCAGTTGGGAGAGGCATGGCATTGTCTAAGGATATGGCACACACCATGTTGGAAATTTCATGCACCAACTCCCCTTCATTAGGCATCAATTATGTCGTCCTTGAGTGGCACATATGTGACTAACATCGTTTTTAAGTTTATTTAAATTTCTTAAACCTTTATAAATATCCCCTTAGGTTTTTACAAACGAATTTCATAATCACCAAACTTAATTCTTAGTCTTTTACCATAACTTTTCTTATTTTAACTAATTTAGTGGGATTTCAAATGCAAGAAAGACCGAGTTTCTACTAATTGATGTGATCTTCACCAACCTTAATGCCAGTAACATATCAAGGTAGATGATACAAACTTTCATGTGTTTGTACCACCTTATGAGATTGGGAAGAACATGTATTCAAGTCTAGTCACTCTAGATATTTTAATATTTTTTATAAATAATTTAGCTCTATTTTTTTTACTTTGCCACATCCGTAGTGAGATCATATTTGTTTCAAAATCTCTCCATTTCTTACATGGTTGTGTTATTTGAGCTAAATGTTCTTAGCTCCTTACTGTGAATTCCTTGAGTTTTTTTTTTTTTTTTTTTTGCAATCTTCTATCTCTTTGTTCTACATGATGTGCTTATCTCTTGTTCGTTTTAGAAGAATATATTAATATGCTTGAGCAGATCATATATAGGAAACTCCTACCTCAATTCTTACTAAGGTAGTTTTTGGTTTCTTTTAAGTTACATGGAATATACTTGACAAATTAATGAATTGTATGCTTGGTAGAAGAAAAAAGGCACGTATCTAAAGCATCACCAAGAAAACAAATTTCTTCCGAAACTATACCTTACTCCTGTATCACTTCATGCTCTCTTACTATTTTTTTTTTTTTTTTTTTTTATGATTCTTAAAATTTCATATTAATTTAGTTTTTCAACAAATTAATTATCAACTAAACTTATGATAATGAAAATAAAACATAGAAAAAAAGAAAATTTTAACAAAAATTTTTACCATCAACAACCACGAGTTTTACCCAACAAAGACGGGCCAATAACAGTTTTCTGAATCCAATTTATGATAAATTAAAGATTGAAGTAAATACGTAAACTAACACGTGGCAAGATTGCATGAGACAAAATTTAATAAAGTAAATGAAAAGAAAAAAGAAATAGCCCCTGTTACATAGTTTATTAAAATATTAAAATTTCAGAATGTCATCAGAGTAGGGTGTCAAAAATCATTCAACGCAAGTAAAATAAAGCCTAAAGGTGGATATTAATCCATGGAGAAACCCTAACAAGAGGAGGAGACACAAGATAGCCACAGACACAATGGAATTGCAACTCACAAGGAAGCAGTAATATAAACAACGTAACAAAAGAAAAAAGCATGCTCGTCCTCAATAACTTATTTTCTTTGTATGAATCTTTTCTATTTCGTTCATCTAATGAAATACCAGAGATGTTATGCAACTAGAGTTCAGATTGACTTGCCTATTGTCATAACCAAAACTGGTAGACAGTAAGCATCATATCAGTGAATTCTACTGTAGCAGCCTCCATGGATGGCCAGCAATGTCCTTCGAGCAAACAGACAGACGTGGTTTCTCATCTATCAACAACATACCACAGCCACTGAGCTTTTTCTCCCTTTACCTCCTAGTATTACAACCATTCAAATCTAATAGACCCTTGCAGTGGTACCCTATAATTTTGCACAACTGAAAAAACGGCAATTAAAATGACAATTAATTAGCTCCCAGTCACAAGTAACGTTAATGCTACAGGGATCAACAACTTAAACCTGTTAATAGTTATCACCTCAATCGTCCAGGTAGTAATACGACCCAGCAGATTTTTGCTCCCTGTCCTTAGTTGAATCCAATTTGTTGATCCGTGGCCTATAATTAGTTGGATCCCGCCGGAATGTGATGTCCAGATGCTACAATGCAGGCAGGAGTGAGTATCAATCATTTTGCAGCGCTCATTTGGATAAAGACAAGAAAATTGGGGGGAATTAAGTATCAGAAACTGTTCACATATTAAGAGCAAAAACGGCATAATGCAACAATATTCATTTTTTGGAATATCATTTGTGGACAATCTTTTCATAAACTAGTAGTATGAACTTAAAACATAAGAAGGCCCAGTAGCCTCCCACAACCAATTCCAAAATAATTGATAAGATCCAGTTGTACTGTTTTTGCTTCATTTTTCCTTCATTTACCTCTAATAAGCAAAAAAAATATCAAAGAGAAGGGAAAAGTTTATGGGACTCACTGATAGGAAGAGATTCATCCCAGTCAATAATGATTGAGGAGAATTTGCTGTACAATCAACAGATGGCTTTCCCTCATAGACAATAACTCTATCTGCCAGATAAGTTGCCATTATAAAATCATGCTCAACAACAAATGCGGTTTTCTTTGCATGAAGGATAAACCTCTTTATGACTTTAGAAGCAACAATACGTTGCTCGGAATCAAGATAAGCACTTGGTTCATCAATGAGATAAATATCCGCCGGCTGCATGAACCAAGGAATTAATTACACAACACCAAGACAATCACAAGTTTTGGTAATGCAAAATAGAGTACCCAACCAAAACATATGCAAATATCTAATGAATGCAGCAAAAACTGGTATGTACTTTTAATCTATAAGTAACTGCAGTTTTATGAAAAACTGGGGAAGAAATATAATTTTTCATCGCACAAATCAGCAAATCTGTTTTTGAGAGCTCAAAATGGGAGATCGGAAAGGACAACAAAACCCGGTTCTGGTCTGACATTTGGTGCGGTAATACCAATCTGCAGAACCGTTTTCCACTCATTTATGCTATATCTAAGGACAAACACAGGCTCATTGAGAAGACTTTTGACTTCGATAGTGGTAATGGCTGAATATTGTGGTCAACAGGAATTTGCAAGACTGGGAAATAAAGGAGTATGAGAACTTGCTGTCATTTTTGAAAACCATCCAGCTCAACAATAACAAATTAATATGGTCTTTGAACAGCAATGGCTCCTTCACTGTCAAATTTTTTTACAAACACTTAGCTGGCCACAACTGTTCGGAGAGAATGGATTTTCCAGCAAAAATGATTTGGAGGACTAAGGCTCCACCTAGAGTATCCTTCTTTGCTTGGGAAGCATCTAAAGACTGCATATTGACCATTGATAATCTAATGAAGAGAGACATTATTTTAAGCAACAGATGTTTCCTTTGCAAGAACAATGCTGAGTCTAGCAATCACCTTTTGCTTTGGTGCCCCATCACTTACAAGTTATGGACCATGGTCTATGGACTATTAGGTATATGCTGAGCCATGGCTGCTTCCGTCAAGGATGAACTGTTTGCCTGGGGAATTGGTGTGCAAGAAGAATAAGAATTTCAGACTTATACTGCTCACCATAGTCTGGGTTATTTGGAAAAAAAGAAACAATAGAGCTTTTAAAGGGAAAGAAGATATTTTTGGCAACATCAAGGACAAATGGTTTCATTTTTTTGATTCCATTGTTCTAGAACATAACCTTGTCCATTTTGATGATTTTGGGTCAATTTCAGATATGTTTATTGACTTGTAAATCTTTTGTAAATGAGTGGTGTCCCCTTGGCGCTTACATATCAATACATTTTCTATACTTTTATCTATAAAAAAAGGAAATATGATTTTTCATTGCATCACAAAAAAATATGAAGAAATATGAAGAATGATAACAAAATTTAAGAACGAAAAAAAAAACAAAAATTTTCATTTAAATATCAGGAAACATGCATTGCCCAAGATGACTGCCTACAAGCTCGATGATTCCCCACCCTAATAGGCCCTAAAACTCCTAACAGGGTACAAAGGTCCCCAGCTTACAGTTGTATTATTCAACATTATGCTCATACACACAAAGCTCCATAAATCTAATGCATTGATGAAAAGATGAGCATTTTTCATAAGATCAGCTTAAATCAGCTTGTTCAAGGAAAATAACACAAGTACTACCAGAATACCCCTGTACTACAAAGTACTATATAATATGTTTCAGAGCACACATGAAACAAGATTTCCATTGAGATCAAACCCGATCCGTGTATAGTAAGGCATATTCAACTCCTAAAAATGGGGTAGTATTTCTATACAGCAGCCTAAACCGCTTGCTCCTGAATAATAAAATGCAAGTACAAACACTACCATGCAGACACATTTTTGTATAACATTCTGATGTTTTATAGCAATGCAGTTAGTTGTAGAGAATTAAAAATCTAAATGTCCACTACTAATATTCACCTTTCCAAGGCACAGAGCTAATGCAACTCTTTGCAACTCTCCACCAGAGAGATTGACAACTTCCTGATCCATTAATTGATCAATAAGAAGAGGCTTCATCACATCTGATACAAATTGAGGATGCATGTATGAATCACGTATTTTTTGGTGTAGTAAGTGTCTAACAGTAGACTGAAACTTTGGACTGATCTTCTGTGGTTTGTAAGAAACATTGAACTCAGGTATCTCCACATCAGAACCTTCTACTGTATCAGGTTTCAATAAACCCGCCTGTTGATTTAACCAAGATGAATAACTCAACTTCCTCCAACAGTCAAGAGAGTTAAAGACCAAAATCGGCTATATACTACAATCAAAACTGAAAGCAAAGAAATGATAAAGTTACCAGCATGCGGATAAATGTTGTCTTGCCTGTTCCATTCTCACCCAGCATTACAATTATCTGGGAATCAGTAAATTCACCCTCAATCACTTTAAGTTTAAAATTTCCCTGAGTTTTACTCATGGTCGGATATCTATATCTCGCATATGTCTCAATTTCTTCAGAGGTTTCCTGGGGAGTCTCAGCAACCTAGGATAATGATAAGTATGAGTGACAAACAAAATAGCAGAACCAATCAAGAAGCATTACACATAAAATCCAAAGATATACCTTGAAGGTAAGAGATTCATCCCGGAACCGTAAGTTTTCTGTTGGCACAAAGCCAGCTAAGAATATATTAATTCCTTCTCTCACGGAAAATGGAAGGGTCACAACTCCATATGCACCAGGTTTACCATACAAACAGCAGATGAAGTCTGACAAATAATCCAGCACACTAAGGTCATGCTCAACGACAATTACATAGCTGAAATACAAAGTGCAAACTCTGTAAGTATCTTCATAACAGAAGTAACATAAGCATCTGAAAAGAAAAAAACATATAATGAGAAAATTAAACCTATTAGGCCTCAGCAAAGATCGAATAACTTGTGCTGCTTTAAGCCTCTGTTTGACATCAAGATAACTTGAAGGTTCATCAAACATG